TTACGTGGCAGATACTAGCGAGGGAAAGGGGGAGAGGATTTTTTCTAGCCAGGCACGAAATGCGGAGATGAGCGGCGAGTACGAAAGAAGGGAAAGGATCCTTCATATCCCTTTCATTCTTCTCTTTTCACCCGGAAACGATTCAACATTTACCCCCCAACCATTTTCCGACCTATTACGCAGGTTGAAATCCTTTTCTTCTCTCCGCCGCCACGCCCATGTACCTTAGTTATAACAGCGCAGTATTGTTAGAATTTTCCCGAATTTCCCCAATTTTCGTTTCTACCAAAGTACGTTAGAATCCTCGCACCGGTTGTTAAATGGCCCCTGATCATAATTTCTTTCCCTCAATCAGGTAAATTGATGTGTTTATGCGGCTTAGCCAAAGTAGTGCCGTAAAACTTGAAATGAACTTGATAACTATCTATGATGTACAGTTATATAACTATGTATGATGTATCACCTATGTATGATGAACAAAATTATTCACGGACTCGTTGATTTGAATATACATAAATATTTGCAATTCTCCAAGGAAAAAAGAACAAGGAACAGTGATGCGTATATAAATTCCGGATGCCCTTTAGCTCTAAGGATGCCCAAGAAATTCTCCTTTTTCCCAAGGTCCTCTAGGAACTGGAATCAGCTCCCAGCCGAGGTAGTGTTGTCTCCATCGCTACCTGTGTTCAAGGAGAAAGCGACTACTTTATGAAATAAAATCCAAATTAGGCTAGTCAATAATATACTTTTTTTAATATGTATTTTATTTAACAGCTAGTGTGATGTCTCACCGGCCTTACTAACTTAGTTAAGATAAAGGTAACTATTTTAGCACGTTAGATAACGCTTTCCTCAGTCTATCAGCAGATATGTTGGTTTGTTTTAAGTTACAGCTGTCTTCTTACTTCCGACCCGTCCTTAGACAAACATACATTCTAATGCGTAACTAGTATTAATTCTCAATTCTTGTCCCGTGACGAGAAGTTTCTGACTGTTGAGCGCGTGCGATAACAAACACTGAATTTTTATGCAAAACTGGATACTGCGGGAGAAACTAACCCAGGGTGACCACGCTTGCATCGAGAACAAGGCTGGTCAGACCCTCGCTGTTGGTAACTCTTTGAGACTTAAGACGGACAGCAACTATTTTCAGCTTCTTGAACCAGCGTAAAACCTTTTATCTTGCTCTCACGGAGATGGATGAGTCCTAGATGTAACCAATTAGTCTTTGCATGTTCATTTGCTTATGTGGTACCTTGTGCACGTGATCCTGATTAACCAAATGCACTTGAGTGAATAGATGCGATTAAATACAAGAAAGTTGCCAAATGGAAAACTGAAGAGAAACACGAGTAAAACATGAATTGAATAACTACAGATACATCAGAAAAGCTTAAAACGAGCGGGATAAATGCGATTATAAAAATATGAAACTGGGTTCTTAAAAGTCCAAACTATAAAAAAAAGTTCTTAAAAGTCCAAACTTAGCTAATTTTAATCATGTTTACGTTTTTGTGAAGAGCTGTTTACGAGCTGACTCTATTTCTCCCTTTTTAACGCTAGAGTCGTCATCAGCTTTTCTTTCCTGAGACTGCGGCTGTTTTTGAAGTTCAAAGCACACAATCGGGTCATCTTTATCATCAACCCACTGTGGAAACTTTGTAAAGTTCATCAGTCCCCTTGTATCCCGTCGCATCTTTTCTCCCAAAACAACTGTTTTGATCCCTTGCATCTCAATCAGAGGAGTGCAGTCATCGCACGGTGTCATCGTTACAATCAGGGTTGAATCCACGATGTTCTTGGTGTTCCGCATCAGTAGCGCGTTTTGCTCAGCGTGGATGATATACGAATACTTTTTATCGACTCTACCCTCCACGGGTGGGTCTTTGTCGGCGGCTCTTGGAAACTCGCCATAAAGCGATTTCGTTGGAAATCCGTTCCAACCTAAACCTACAACATCTTTACAGTTGTTTACTATCACTGCTCCAACTCCTTTTCGTGGATCATCTGTTCGCTCCGCTAGAAAGAATGCTAGTTTCATAAAGTGAATGGCTTGCCTTCGTTCCAAATCGTTACTGCACGGGTCAAATGACATGCTTTCCTTCCTCGTTACAGCTTCAAACGAATCTCCTATCTCTGATTTAATGAGAACGTGAGCCATCCATTCCGTGATGCTTTCAAAGTCTTTGTACACCTGAGCTCTCATGTTGTCATCGAAGGCTCGCCATGGCAGTTTCAACTGAGCGACTTTAATCCATTCATCATTCCAGTACTTGTTTTCCATGAGATATTTTTGTTTGGCCTCTCTATCCTTCTTCGGCGTCTTTGCTTTACTTTCAGCAACATCGGTAACGTCTTGTCCTGCTCTTGGAACGAACACAGACTGGCCAATCGAACTTACTTTAAAAAGCTCATCGACACGCGACGTTTCGTCAGCAAAATCATCGTCATTTTTACCCTCCCGCCGCAAATAATCATACTCAGGCTCAATCGGCAGGTAGAAGACCCTCTTCACTTTAGACTGCACCAGTAGCTTCGTGCACAGGGAACATGGTTTTCTAGATACGAAAACTTTGCAATCTTTAAGGTTATCTTGGTGTGCCATTAACAGTCGTGCCACGCCGTGCACGCCATTGCGAGAACAATCAACAGCATGAATCATGTCATTAGGCAACACAAGTACAGCTCCAACTCTTTCATATTTACCAATATCCAATCGTTTGACCGGAAACTCTTCCATGTGCTTGGCAATAACCATAAACAGGTTCTCCTTACTTATTCTAAAGTCACGGTCAGAGTATGAGGGGTTTTTCGAGGGTGTCGAACTCGTAGTAGCTTCTTCCATTGTGTCTGGCTCTGTATAGTCTCGCGAAGAAAGAAGTATTCTTTCATGCAGCTGTGGTCTGCGAGAGCGTCTGTGAGGGCGGAAGTGTCATTTGTTTCAACCGGTCGGCGTCACCGCCAGCATGACGTCACCTTACCCTTCCTTCAAACGAGGAATGGAGTGAAAATGAAGAATTTCTGTCAGGTTTTTAACCCCCATTACTTTGCAGTTGAATTACGCGAAGCTCTACATGAGCGAGTCATAGAAGTTATGTCATTTTCGTTACTCGATGAATCCCTGTCACCTGCAAATCACGTACGACCCCCCAAGCTTTAATATCTTTAATAGCTATCGTGTTTAAATTATGTATGTATGTTAGCCTGCGTTGCAGCTGGCCCACGCACTCGTCTAAATCATTAATTTGTACAGTCCGTCTGCGAATTAGCCTCCCAAGCAGGCGCTTTTGCTGGAGCTCGTATTTCACCCCTCCCCAGGGAGGGACGAAGTGCGTGGGCCGGCTGCAACCCAGGCTAACATACATACATACATAATTTAAACACGATAGCTATTAAAGATATTAAAGATATTAAAACTCACCCCCCCTTTCCTTCCCTTTCCTCGCTATTTTTTTTCCCTAAACACAGAGCCTGTTTACAGGCTAGTGCACAAAAGTTCGTTCTAATATGACTAATATACTGCAGAGTCGCAAGGACATACGTGAGTGTTTCTAATAGGCGGATTTCTTACGGGTTTCTTGTATTGCAGCAGTCCGCCAGCTATATTCTGTTATGTAATTAGGCTTTTTATTGTAAATAGCTATCTCAAGTAATGTTAGGCTTTATACTTTATACAAGTTTTTGGATTTCCCTTTCTTTCTCTATTATTTTATTTATTTGTTTTTTTCTCGGCTTATTAGCATATTTTTACTAGAGGTCTAACCAACCTCATCAACCCAAGATTAAATAAAGCTTAATTCATTCATGCGCTTCGTGATTTGCGTAATTCTTACGTGTACGTGACGATTAGGTGCAGTCAGGCATGTCAATATGAGTCCAATATATCGCCCCATGTAAGGGAATCCAGGACAGTCTTGGATTCTGGATTCCATGCTGTGGATTCCGGATTCCGCGTACTGGATTCCGGAATTAAGCACAGTGGATTCAGGATTCGAAAAAAGAGCTGGATTCCATTTTTTTTCCGGTTTTAAATGTGGCTAAATATCATTTAGGCAAAGTTAAACTCGAGCGAGTTGGCCAGCAGTCTTCTCCCACTTCAGTATGTGACCTACGGGGCGGCCCGCGGGGAATTGCAGGGCTCCTTGTGTGCCCTTTTGCTAGTGTTGCTTTGCATTGTAGCTTTGCTTGCTGATTGTAGCGGATCATTTCTTAGCCTTCTTGCAAATCAGTGCGGATTCTTGCTGAT